TCAATAGCTTTACTGTTGATAAGTGTAGCATGACCAAAATCACTTCATATATCAATGAGCTCCTTCCTGTAGTACTACAACTGTTATTTTAGTTTCACCAGACTTGTAGATGGTTATTTATAAATCAGCTCATGGCTGCCTCATGGCATCTGCCCCTCAACCAATCAAATGATAGATGCCTAGGGTGACTAGGTCACTAACCAATCAGGAGCACCTTTCAATTAAGTTCTACCTGCAGTGATCTTTCAGTTTGTCAGTCTCCAATGCAAACCACGATGGGGAAAGACATCTTTCGATACCTAATGCGTTTACCTGTAGTTATCTCTTACTTTATTTGCTTGTGTGTGTTGAATTTGAGAGCCTCTGTGTTGCATGTCTTGTTAGTACTTGACAATGTTTAAGAGTCTCCTGAATGATGATACTACGTATATTAATATTCTCACTTTTTTCATTATTTGTGCACGCATTGTAAAGCGTCAATATTGTATAACCTTTTAAATGTGATCTTACATTCTGTTTTTAGGTTTATTTTGTAACATCTGCCTCTTGGGACTACAGATGAAAAATAGCCTCTTCGCTAACTCTGGTGCATTTACAGAAATGTTTTTATTAGTGTGCACTGTCCCTTATCAAATAAACTAATAAAATAAAATAAATAAATAAATAAACTAGTGCAATTGTGAACCTATGTTTTGTATTGTGAATTTGTCTTGAATAAAAATACAGTACCACATACATCAAGATAAGAGCCATCATAAGTAGTTCACTCATTTCATCTTCAACAAAGGATATACACATAGGTATATTGTCATGCTGTAACAACATTTTGAAAAAGGAAAAATAAATGTGGCAAACGCATTAGGTATCGAAAGATGTCTTTCCCCATCGTGGTTTGCATTGGAGACTGACAAACTGAAAGATCACTGCAGGTAGAACTTAATTGAAAGGTGCTCCTGATTGGTTAGTGACCTAGTCACCCTAGGCATCTATCATTTGATTGGTTGAGGGGCAGATGCCATGAGGCAGCCATGAGCTGATTTATAAATAACCATCTACAAGTGTGGTGAAACTAAAATAACAGTTGTAGTACTACAGGAAGGAGCTCATTGATGTATGAAGTGATTTTGGTCATGCTACACTTATCAACAGTAAAGCTATTGATTATTATTTAATAAATATTCACTAAAATTAATCTAAATCATATTTTTTCAAAATAGCACTTGTAGTACAACAAGGAGGAGCCCATTGATGTATGAAGTGATTTTGGTCATGCTACACCTATCAACAGTAAAGCTATTGATTATTATTTTCAATAAATATTCACTAAAATTAATCTAAATCATATTTTTTCAAAATAACACTTGTAGTACAACAAGGAGGAGCCCATTGATGTGTGAAGTGATTTTGGTTACACTACATTGCATGACAGTGAAGCTATTGAATATTGTTGTAGTAGGTATTTTCCGCATTGCACTTTGTAGACGGTCCCTGCGCACTCGCCTCGCAGCCGGCCGCTCATTGAGACCAATGCCGATTGTCCAGCTCGGAGGAGTCCGTAAGACGGCCCGTTTTAATTAAATTAAGGTTGTAGCTTGTTGTCTACCTCACTACGGTTACAAGGAGGTATCGTTTGTATTTTAGCAACGTTTCGTTAACGATTTATTGAACCGGGAATTCCGAATCTGTCAATATCTTTCTACCTAAATTGTTGAAGGGACGCGTTTTTTTACATTATCTTGTGACGTTAGTAGCCATAATAAAGTATGGCTAACGTCACAAGACAACTGTAGCTAGCCCAACAGTAACGTTCTCAAGGGATGTCTAGAGGTAACCACAGACTTTTCCATCATTGAAGGATACACAAAGTTGTATTGTTGGTTATTATTGAGAACCAGTATCTACGTGGATAGGCTATTCATTGACAAACATAAGAATGACTAGTATGCAGGCAGTTACGTGGATTCTGTTCCACTGAAGTACGTTTCCGACTGTTCACTATGTTGTTTCAATAGCGAACCTAGCCAGCTGATATTTAGTAGCCGAACTACGTTCAACTATCGTTTTCACCAAAAACACAGCCGTACGTGTTAATAACACAGTAATAAGGTCGTTCATTTCAAAAATACTAAATATGTACACATAACACGTACGCCTTCATAAGAAAAAAACATTTAAAAGAGTTGGCCAAATGTGTCGTACATGCTAACCCTGTCAGTGGATATATAAAAGCAACTGGTTTGCGTAATTTATCGTAAAGGGAACTGTTAAAGTAGAAACTTGTGTCCACTCACCTCCTTCAGCCAGCTCAGCTTCAGCAACGGCACGTCAGTCGGTGAATAAGCTCCGTATAGTGTGTTTATAAGGCACGGAAAATCACAGGCATCATGGGAGAGGAAAGAAATGATTCGCGCGCTGATGGTGCTACATAGGAGAGAACCTCCGTGTTACCACATTGTGTTAAATTGAATGCTACTGGTTCTTCTGGGTCCCACACACCCGCACGCTGTATGGGCGTGAGTACAAACCACCTGGTGGCCGGGGCGTAATCTAATCCAGCGCGTGTCGTCACTGTTGAACGGTAACCGCCTGCGTGACTATAGACAACCCGCAGAGTTACTGTATTTAGTGAATGACCTCAATGGCCTCTCACAACAGACATACTGACTTATTGAAACAGAAAAACAACAATGCAAGAGGAATCCACATGTTTTATTATTTTAAGTCACTTCATGCGTTGCCTTTACCTTTACCCATCCGTTATAATGACAGCCCACACAAAGCTCAGTGAGATATGAACTACATTTAAGGCTAAGTCTAGACATCTGGGAGCCTCTGACCACAGCTCACAGGTGTACACACAACAAATAAAAGAAAGAACCTCCCGTATCAGGGCCCTTGTCTAGCTCGGCATCCTGTATATGAGTAAGGTGGTTACTTCCATCAGGGCATACAAACTATATTTTCTCTCAGTCCTTAAGAGGAAACAAGAAAACAGAGAATCTGATATTGTGCAATGATTCAGCACAAGTCATCAACAGTGCCTCCATCAGGCCAAAGCCTCACATAACCTGAATTTATGACTGAAAACACAGCAAACTGAAGAGATGGCCACCGCCTAAAGTTGATTCATTAAATGCGATATTGTTAAATTTCATGCTACACCTGTAAAGACTCCACTATCACATCACAATTATTTCAGCTAATACAACTTAAAATATACAAAATGCAAATGCTTTCATCACTCATAGATGCAATTTCTGCCTGTGGTTTCCTGAAGTCCAATTTGAGCCTTGTAACTTTTGCCATTGCTTAGGGGCTTTTTAAAGTCAGGGTTAGGGAATGAGTGTGGTCAGCGGGCGTTTTCAGCAAGTACAATATGTTTGTATGTGTGTGTCGTGCATATTTAATTGTTCTCTGGGGACAGTGTGTGCAGCACAGTGGTGAGGATGGAGAGAAACCCCTTCAGAGCTTTGTCATCTCTTGGTTTCTGTTTAACAGTCACTTTTACTTCCTCATCTTCCCCATCTTTTCTCACCAACACTCTCCCACTGAGCCCAGCTTCCTCTTCCGCCACATCCCCATCCTCCGTGCCTTTCTTTATTTCTACTACCCTCCGACTTGCCTCTCCAGTGTACAGCAGCTCGCCGACTATGAGCGTGATGCGGGGTGCTTCACCAGAGTGTGCGTGCTGGGTGTGTGTGTACAGGTAGACCCTCCAGGGGAGTGTGTGTGGCGGCGTGAAGGCCAGTGTCTGGATATTGACCAGCTGCATCGCAGCATGAAGGCTTTGTGGTGAGCAGTGAGGTATGGCAGGGCATTGGATTTGTTCTTCCATGCACACATAATCCTCCTCCTCTTCTAGCTTCTCAGCACCTAGCCGCAACAAAACAGTCAGAGAAACTGATGTCAAGCAGACCAACTGAAGTATAAGTATTAAGTAGCATGAACAGAAAAGATTTTAAAAAGTACATGTAAATCCAATTTGTACTTAAGAACACTACTTGAGTAACTTTACTTGGATACATTCCACAACTGGAGATTTCACACTGGTTTTGGAGTTTTTACAGCAGGCCTGTTTGCTCCTGTCAACCACAATACCTGTCCCATGAAGAGGAAGCTTTTGGCATGAAAGGATCTCCTTCCATTTAATCACCTTGGTCAGCATGCGAAGCCTGTCGCTGCATCCACAGACGCTCAAACTCCTCTGGGCTGAGAGCAGGGGAGAGGGACAAACTGAGGGGCGCTGCGAGGCTGGAAGCCAGGACATTAGCAGAGGAGTAGGTAAACCCACTGGTACTGTCTGAGCCTGGAGAAGACATGGGAGGACAAAGAGATGGTGGAAAGGGTATAGGGGAAAAAAAGAAAGAAAGAATAAGGATGCAGCAACAGGGAGCCGAATTGTGGACAAAGGGAATGGAGTTAGGATGAGTGCCAGAGGAAGAGATTTGTGATTAAAAATGGCACTGCATTCCCAGAAATGGACCTTAACCATGGGGGGGGGGGGGGGAAACGCGCTGTCTTTGACCAAAATAACACAACTTAATATGTAAGCTTGATCCTTGGGAACCCATTTAAAGTAGCATGACCATATTTGTGACCTCAGTAGTATCACAGTGGAGACGAGTAGCTACAGTGGTTTCAGAAAGTATTCAGACCCTTTTACTTATTGCACATGATATTGTGTTAGTTTATTTTGTTTATGAAGTTCATTGAATTTTCAGTTTAACACATTTTAACACGTGCACACACAAACAAGAAGTAATCTACCAATAGGGCAAACAAAATTCTAAAAAGTAAAAAAAAAAAGAGATTAAGCAAAACCACTACATGTATATGCATACATTTTGAAATCTGCCTGAGCAATAAGACACTAATTTAACCAAACAAGCAACAGCAATGTAAAACAATTCTTCACAAAACACACCAGTGTTTACTTGTTTTAAATCCATTCTTCTGAAGCGGGTAATGAAGGCTAGGAGAAGGACCCAGTGCAGCATAAGGGATCTGATACCACTGTGGTGTTGTCCAACCTCACCACAGCGTTTTGCCCCTCAGTTGTGGAGCAAATAGGTTCAAGAACTTCTCAAGTGCAACAAGCGCCAACAGGCTGATGTGAAAGGGGAGTCCAGCATCGTGCTTTCTAACTTCTTAGCACCAGGGGTGTAAAATGTATGCCCTTTATTGGAAGAATGATTAGGGTAAATGCTAAATGGACTGTACTTGTATTGCGCCTTTCTAGTCTTCCGACCACTCAAACTGCTTTAACACTACAGGTCATCATTCACACCCATTCACACACTGATGGCAGGGGCTACCATGCAAGGCACCACCTGCCCATCAGGACTGTAAACTAATTCACATTCACTTTCCAGTCATTCCAGAGCAATTTGGGGTTAAGTATCTTGCCCAAGGACACATCGACATGAGTTGGGGATCGAACCGCCGATCTTCCGATTGGAAGATTTAAAAAAAGTCACAGCCGCCCCTTTGAGCCACAGGGTGCTGATGCTGCCTCCGATTGCGCCCCCCATCGCCCCTGCTTTGGGCATTCAATCTACATTTTCAAGGCCTTGGAAGAGGACTTTAGCTTTCCAGAAGCACGTAGCAACAGCTGAAGAGAAAATCACACTCTGTTATCGGTCCCTGTTGACAGCAAAGCTTGATTTTAATGTCTTCACTCACCTGAATGAACTTTCTCAATTTGGCTACAGTTCAGTGTGTCCGAGAGGTCAGTGTTAGGCTTGGGGTCAAAGGTCACATGTTCAGGGCTTCCTCTGCTGGCTGGCTCGGTCTCTACGCAGCCCTGCGTCAGAGGCTCTAGAGTGTTAAAGCTGTAGGCCCACTGGCTGATGGGCTCCGCGGGGCGGCCAATCAGAACACCCAGAGAAGGATCTGACCTCCGACCCTGGAGGACCTTACGCGTCTCTTCTGTCCCACAATGCAACAGGCGGTAGTAGAAAAGTGCCTGGTCACGCACGCACATGTCCGTCTCCTCCTCTGGAAAACACAAAGTGTGACAATGCTATCCCCCGTTCTCTTTTACACCGCACACGCAAAACACACACAACCCTGTACTTCTATACTTGTGAGGACACTTATTGACGTAAGGCATTCCCGAGCCCCTTACCCTAATCTTAACCATCACAACTAAATGCCTAACCACAAGCTTTATCCCAACCTAAACCTAATTTAACGTGAGATTTAAAACCAAATCTGAACCTTCAAACAAGTCTTTAAAAGGTCCCTCTGAAGGTGAGGACCCAAGACTGTAGAAAAGATAGGGGCCCATGGGTTTCTGAGGAGGCGTTGTTAAACTCAAAATGGGTAGCTCCGGCTGTCGACCATCCTATCTCCCGACTAATCCAAAAATGAGCAACAAGGTGGATTGTTGTTGGAGCCAAGACAGCCCAGGTGACGCAGCAGAGGGAGTAGCACCTGTCCCTCAAAGCAGCCATGCCCCACCCATAACTGTAAACCATAATATCATTTTAACAGGTGATTTATATATATTAAAAAAAAAAACCCTGTACAGTTGTCACGAAAGTGGATATTAGCTGTAGAGACCCGTTTTCTGTATCAGGCTGTAAACCCCATTCTGCTGTAAAGTTGGAAATTATAAAATGGCGGTCAATCAGAGATTGAGTCCTTTTTGGAGCCAGCCTCAAGTTGCCATTTAAGGAATTGCAGTTTTGACACTTCCATGTTGGCTTCATTTTTCATCACTGGTGGTTGCCACTTGGTGAGGACAGGCCAACATGTCCTCACTTTCCAAAAATGTCCTCACCCTCAAGGTCTAAAACTCAAATTGGATTCTAACAAAGATGAATGTACAAGTACGCACACACCTATGCAGTAGTGCAGCAGTCTTCCGAGCATGTCTTGTGTCTCAGCAGGCCGGCACAAAAACAGCCTCATAGTGGTCGTCAGCAGCTCCATCTTGACTCCCAGAGAGGCCTCGCTCCTCACTCCATCAATGAACACCTCCAATGTGTACGGGGCGCTGGAGACTCGCTCCCCATACACAGCCAACAACCACAGCAAGGCTTGCCTGCCCTAAACAAGGATCAGGAGAATGAACAGAGGATTTAGACTAAATATAAAATGCCCTTGACACCTACTGATATGTTTTGCATTACTCTGGGTGATCAGATTTCTGCTCACATTTGAAGGTACCCTGTGGAGTTGTTGACCACTAGTAGTGAGTGTGGTGACGCAGGGGACGTGATACACAGTCATAAGGGCTGGATATCATTTCAAAATCAGTAAGCTTCTAGAATAAATGAGTCAAGGCCGGTGTTTATGTTGAGGTATTGCTGCGATTACTTAAGTCAAGGATCTGGATGCTTCAACAAACACTGCAGGCTGAGGAAGACAAACAACCGTAACAGAGAAGGAAGCGGTGGAGACTTTGTTTGCGCACACATACACCTAGATTTTATTTGCTGGGTTTCTCTTATGAGCTTTGCATATGAAAATGTGGCAGTCATGTAGGTAAACCAAATGCAAAGTGATGTTTTCATATACATGGTGGAGGAAAGAGACGAGACGGGACGAGACCAGACCAGACCAGACGGGCCCAAGGAACCGTGATGGAAAGTAACTAATTACATATACTCTTAAGTACATCTTGGAAGGAGTTTTTTGAGATACTTCCACTCTATTGAATTTCAGGGGCAAATATTGTAGTAACTTTAGTTACCAGTAGCTTTGCCGATTTAGATAAATAATCTAAACTATTATCAACAAATAAATGCAGATGATTTATGATAGCTTAAGATAAGACTTTCTTGAAACTCTGGGAAATTCACAAGCTACGCTGCAGTATATACAGTAATACAAATTTGCGCCATCTTAAATGCTGCAACATGAAAGTGATGAGCATATAAATGCATCAATAATTACAATCCAATTATATAATACACATTCAGAAATGGGGCATTCCGCCCAATGAGCCCTTTTAGTTTTGGTATATTAATGATAATATGTCTTACTTCAGTCAAACTAAAGTTGGAAAATATCTCCGGTTTCAACAATTGGTGAATTCCACAACTTTTAGGACCTAATGATTTAAATAAGGGCTAATCAAGTATTCACACTGGGCGTCTCTTTCCCCATGGGCCCCATGGGCCCCATGACATCACTGACAGACCCAACTGTTTGGCTAATATGTAAAATCTGCTTCAAAGCCTCTTCCCGGGGGGCTTAGCTCGTCAGTGGTAAAAACAAGAACTTTTAGTGAACATGCCCCGTTAGTGTATCGTTATTTTGCCCTTGCAGCCTGTTTAGCTGCAGCCAGCTGTAGCATTCTCCCTCAATACTGGATCTATTAAAAAAACATCCCATTAGTCACAGAGTCATCGGAGTACTTCTTCCACCACTGTTACTGTCACTGGCTGTCTTTACTTTTTTTACATAGTACCCTAAAGTATTTAGTAAAACATCGAAGGAGACGGGTATGAGAGAGCCTCTCTTCCCCTCCAGCTTGTAAAAATGCTGCAGTACAGGTTTTAACTACAATAGCAACGTTGTGTGATTATCCTGCAAAATGTCCCTGAAAGAGATGAAAATGACTGCAAGTGACCCAGGGCCATGTTCACAATACAATACCAGTGAGAAGAGCACAACTAAAACACCAAGACAAGAATCTCTACTGTGTGCGGATGTGGCAGCAGCTCTGGTCTGACCTGGCTGTCCTGCAGCATCTCCTCGCAGCCCTCTAGAGCCAAACACACAGTGTCGCTGCACTGAGGACACACCCAGACCAGGTCACGCATCGTCTGCACCACCGCTGAGGAGTGGGGGGGAGGGGGGGAGGAGAGAGAGACACACAATGTGGAAAAATAGTTGCTGGCAATTGTTACAGAATCAACTGCCTATTCTGGACAGTACAGTATGTATGCAGTGGGTAAAATAAGTATTGAACACGTCACCATTTTTCTCACTAAATATATTTCTAAAGGTGCTATTGGCATGAAATGTTCACCAGATGTCGGTAACAACCCAAGTAATTCATACATACAAAGAAATCCAAACAAATAAGTTCAGAAATTAAGTTATGTATAATAAAATGGAATGACACAGGGAAAACGTATTGAACACATGAAGAAAGGGAGGTGCAAAAAGGCATGGAAAGCCAAGACACCAGCTGAAACCTATCAGTAATTAGAAAGCACTCCTGCCCCTTGTCGTGCAAATGAATATCAGCTGGTTCAGTCCCAACTGATGGCCTATAAAAAGATGTCTCATTACCAAGGTGTCCCACAAGAAACATCTCATGATGGGTAAATGCAAAGAGCTGTCTCAAGACCTTCGCAACCTTATTGTTGCAAAACATACTGATGGCATTGGTTACAGAAAGTTGGGGCCATAATCAGGAAGTGGAAAGAACATCATTTCACCATAAACCAGCCACGGCCAGGTTCTCCTCGCAAGATTTCTGACAGGGGAGTGAAAAGAATCATCAGAAGAGTTGTCCAAGAGCCAAGGACCACTTGTGGAGAGCTTCAGACAGACCTGGAATTAGCAGGTACAATAGTTTCAAAGAAAACAATAAGTAATGCACTCAACCGCCGTAAAGGCATGTATGCACGCTCACCACGCAAGACTCCATTGCTGAAGAAAAAGCATGTTGGAGCTCGTTTAAAGTTTGCTGCACAACGTTTAGACAAGCCTGTGAAGTACTGGGAGAATATAATCTGGTCAGATGAGACCAAAATTGAACTCTTCGGATGCCATAACACACACCATGTTTGGAGGTCAAATGGCACTGCACATCACCCCAAACCAACAGTGAAGTTTGGAGGTGGGAACATCATGGTGTGGCGCTGTTGTTCAGCATACAGCACTGGCAGACTTCATATAATTGAAGGATGAATGGAAGGATCTACCGAGACATTCTTGATAAAAATCTGCTGCCATCTACCAGGATGATGAAGATGAAACGAGGGTGGACATTTCAGCAAGACAATGATCCAAACACACAGCCAAGGAAACTCTCAATTGGTTTCAGAGAAAGAAAATAAAGCTGCTAGAATGGCCCAGCCGATCAGCTGACTTGAATCCAATTGAAAATCTATGGAAAGAGCTAAAGATCAGAGTTCATGGAAGAGGCTCACGGAACCTTGAAGATTTGAAGACTGTTTGTGTGGAAGAATGGACCAAAACCACACCTGAGCAATGCATGCGACTAGTTTCTCCATACAGGAAGCTGTCATTACCAACAAAGGCTTTTGTACGAAGTATTAAATACATTTCAGTAAGCGTGTTCAATACGTTTTCCCTGTGTCATTCCATTTTATTACACATAATTTAATTTCTGAACGTATTTGTTTGGTTTTCGTTGTATGTATGGATTACTTGGGTTGTTACTGACATCTGGTGAAAATATCATGTCAATAGCACCTTTAGAAATATATTTACTGAGAAAAATGTTGACACTTATGTTACCCGCTGTATGTGTGGGGGGAATGAGTTCTACCAGAAGTGATGTGCTCCTGTTTGAGGCCAAGCAGTCCAGTAAGAATCTCCAGACATCTGTCGCTGTAGCTCCGTCCAATACGACCTGGAACCAATCCACACAGGAGACATTAGCCATCCGACTAAACTTCACTGGACTCTTCCTATTAGTATGAAAACAACGTGATAATACAGCAGATGTTTTGTTTGTATAAAAAGTGTGTTACTGTGAGCTAGTAGAAAAGAAGATGTACAAAAGTGACTGCCTGGAAGTGTTTGTCTTGTAATAGAGACATGGTTAAGAAGACAAAAGTGTGCATAGTCATGCATTATGCTGCCACAAAAGAGTATGGCTGTGTGTTTACCTATAGCTGAGATTGCAGCCTGGGCAGTGTCAGTGTTGACATCAGTGCAGTATCCTTTCAGCTCATCCAGTAACATTGCTACATTGTCATCATTAACCAGCTCCACCAGCACCTGCAAACACAACAGTGTTAGCTTCACTATTACTGCTTGTTCAGCACTGTTACTTGCAACACAGGCTAGTAACTGTGGATATCCTTGAATGGTGAAGGGGGAACTCCAGTAATTTAGTATTGTACTACAGTACCAGTTTGAAAAACTATTGCCGAACAAGTGGCTCGACAGGGTGTACAGCAACACCCCTTTATTAGAAGTTTGAGTTTACATTAGTGAGTGTGGGCTAAGTTTTAAAAAGTAGGTGAAATACTATTCCTAAACTCATGGCTGTGTCCTATCATATGTTAACTATTTCAACTTGCACTCCACACATCTCAGGTATGCAGACCCAGGGACTGTGTTGTGCTTGTGTTCTTGTATAAAGTGTTAAAGTGTAATGTTGCTCCTTGATCCCAGAGAAGCCCTCTGAGATGGATGGTAGAAACTCCAATAAACTCTTTTTGAAATCTTAACTAAAAATGTACATTTGATTCTTCAAATCGGCACTCATCCTGTCATGCCTGTATCTATGTTTTCTGTTCATCCTCTCCTTGCTCCCTCTGGGTAATATCATACGTCAACATGGTCTCCACTTCCAATGCTACACCGATGATGTCCAGCTCTACATCTCCACAAAAGCCATTACCACTGCTACTCACTCCACTCTGACCAACTGCCTCACTGACATTAAATCATGGATGCAAACCAACTTCCTCAAACTCAACTGTGATAAATCTGACATGATCATCATCGGTCCCAAATCCCTCACTAAAACCAGTCACAACTTCTGCCTCACCATCGACAACTCCACTCTGTCTCCCTCCCCACACATCCGCAATCTCAGAGTCATGTTCGACAGCAACCTCTCCTTTGAACACCACGTTAACCAAATCACCAGAACTGCCTTTTTCCACTTCAAAAACATAGCCCGTCTCCGCCCATCACTCTCCTTATCTGCTGCTGAAACTTTGATCCACGCCTTCATCACCTCCAGAATCAACTACTGCAACAGTATTCTTCATGGCACATCATCCAAAATCCTAACTAAACTCCAGTACATCCAGAACTCTGCTGCTCGCCTGCTCACCCGCTCCCGTGATCACATCACCCCTGTTCTCCAGAATCTCCACTGGCCCCCCGTCCCACAACGGATCCAATATAAAGTCCTTCTCCTGACTCATAAAGCCTTCCACAATCAGGCCCCCTCCTACCTCACCGACCTGCTCCACCACCACACTCCACGTCGGCTCCGCTCCTCTGATGCCAACCTCCTGTCTCTTCCACTCAGGACCAAGCCCCGGACATGGGGCGACAGAGCCTTCTCCATAGCTGCCCCCTCCCGCTGGAACTCTCTCCCCAAACACATGCGAGACTGCACCGATCTTTCCATGTTCAAATCCAAAATCAAAACCCACCTTTACAGAACTGCTTTTAATATGTGACCAATATTGTGTGTTTTATGTTTTTAGTGTATAGCTTTTTTATATGATGATTTTAATGTAAAGTGTCTTTGAATATTCTGAAAAGTGCTCTATAAATAAAATGTATTATTATGTTTAGACTTATGAATACCACAACTATGAACATAAAGGCACACAGATTGCATGTGAATGCAACAACATGGAACATACCGCTGTAAGGGCTTTTCAGGCGACCCTTAGCCCCGGGTTAAGTGAGCTGTTAGATTGGTGCTAAGAAGGTTTTCTCACTGGCACATTCCAAAGTTGGACAACCCTGGCGTTTGTTTAGTCAATTGTCAAGGTTACTCCCTAAAAAAATCAAGCTAACAAACCGGGCTAAAGTAAACAATGGAATGTGGGTCACCTTTTTGTTGTCCAATCTGTTTAAGAGTAGTCATTCTAGACCAGGGGTGTCAAACTCATTTTCAGTCCGGGCCACATCAGCATCATGGTTTCCCTCAAAGGGCCGGTTGTAACTGTAAGACTGTATAACTGTAACTACTCCTAACATATTGTTAAATAACTCTCTCTGCATTTGATTATTGTTTATTCAAGTGTAAAAATATTGTACATGCTAGTTATATAAATGTAAAATGATATTTAAGCACATTTCTGTTATTATAACATAAATCATTTTAATTTAGGGTTAAGAAACCCACATTACTCTATCAAAGATCAAACTTTTAAAGAAAATAACAAAGACAAATATCATCAAACACAAGTTATTACATTAACTTTGTTCAAAGCTATTTTTGTCACCTCTCTGCATCACTAATGTCCCGCCCTGCCGTCGTCCCGTGCATGGCAGCTACATCCAAGAGCTCCTCACTGAGAGTCAAGTCTGCCTTGAGCCTCTTACAAACGTTGATAGATGATGTATCTCGTCTCTTAGCTAGCTGTGTTGTTAGATTGCCTGCTAGTTCGTGAACTCGGTCTGCGATGGTCTTTCTTCACAAACTGACATTTGTAAAAGTCTGTATCTGGTCGGAGCTCACCTGCTCACATACTGTACCTTTAGCGTGCACTGGGCTGTAGCTTCTGTAAATATATTCTGCTGTGATTGCAGTCTGCCTTTAAATTCTTGGACAATTTTATGTTTTTCTTGGAGGCTAAATTTAGCTCCGTGTTTGGTGTCAAAATGCCGACGTGAATTGTATCCTTCATCACCGACACGCATCATAACACAGAAGACACACCCGTTTTTCTCCCTGAAGCACAGACATGTATTCGCTTTCCCATCTTAAATTACATTTTCTTCCCTCTGCATCAATTTTTCTCTTCGTGGACATTTTGGGATTATTTGTCGATCTTTTTCAACGCAATCACTTGTTGGAAAACTGCTTTACGGGCTGTTCCCTCTCCTGTCCACCTGTTGTGATAGTTTTAATGTCGGTACACAGACAACATGCTATCTCATAATTTCAACTTTCTATCTCAGAATTTCGACCATGGGGATATTTTTATTTTCAAATCTAACTTAAATTTTTTTTTCCAAAATTAAAAAAAAAAAAAAAAAAAAACTTTTTTTTGGCTGGTGGATTCGCGGGCCACATAAAATGACGTGGCGGGCCGGATTCGGCCCGCGGGCCTTGAGTTTGATACGTGTGTTCTAGACTGTAAAAATGAGCAATGTGTTCCAACGGACATTTAAACCAGGGCTAGTAGAAGTGCAGTGTGAATATAGCCCGAGTCTTAGGTTAACAATGTGTGTGTGAAAAAGGGCTAAGTTATCTCAGGGTCAACTCTTAGCCCAGGGCTAGCCATAGAAGAAGAATTTGCAGTGTGTAGGCTGAACAGCCCAAGTGGTGCTGGCCTTTTTAAAACCATTAGAACTGGATTAAGAATAACGTGATGATTAAGAACCACATGGTTTCACTATATGGACTACAAATAATCCAGCACAAAGCAAACCATGATCCTGAGGCTAAAAACACAAAAGCATCCTCTAAACCGTGAGAGAAATGGTGTTAGTCCAGTAATCTGTAAGGTACATTCTTTCTGCCAAAATCAATCAAGCTTCCCTCTTTCAAAGTGACGCGTTTTAACTCTAGTTTCAGCTGGGCGATACAGCTTTATTCACAAAAATAGTAAATGGCAGCATAGCTGTGGTAAGAGTAGAAAAACCAAATAATATAAAGGAAAAAAACAAACATTGAACTACCTGCATCTTCCTTTGCTTGATGTAGGCTGGCTCAGCGTAGCCGCAGAAGAAACGCTTGTAGTGCGCCCCCATGAGGCCAGGGAGAGAGCGCAACAGCAGCTGGAGAAACACACAGACACCATTTCATTCCTCAAAATGTGTCCACACATCCATCTGACAAGAGATTTCCACTGACAAAGAAATCCATCAACCCATCAAAATTGTTATGCAGGAAATATTACTTTGTATATCCCCTCAGCACACACAAGCAAACGATGATTCTTACTAATGGTAAGAATTAAGAGCAATGCCATTAGTTCTGTCCTTCTGTTCTATTTGGAAAGGGCTGGAGTGCTTAAATGCTATGTTATACTAGATATCTAGAGTTGCATATAGTTTGCATGTGGCCGTGCAAATAAGAAGTATTTAGCCTGTTTGTAGCTTGTCAACTAGCTAAAGAAACACTACATTGTTTGATGGCCGTGCTGAGCAGCACCAGTTCAGTTCAGGCCATCAGGTTCTTGTTTTGTTACCAGTAGCACGTTTGCCGTTTCAAGCTCGGTTTTCTGCGAGAGACTATATGATCTCTATGCCCAAACGTAAGAAAACAATTCAATCTGATGAAGTCCTATCTTGCTTGTGCGACCTTGTCCCTTAATTCAGGTGTGTGTGCACCGTGTGTCTGCTCTCTGTGTTAATGTGGTAGCAACCTCATAACCCATTGGCTATCGGTCTGATGACAGATACGCCTCTGGGGGACAGAGGTTATATTTCTGGAGTTCAGGAGTAGCCAGCGGATATCAACACCTTCTCCGTGCACTGCTCACAGTCCGATTAGCAACTTGAGATGCGAGACTTGAGTTGGAGTTGAGAGACGATGTGTACGACCGGATTGTAGACCAAAACTTGGCACCGAAAGCTTTGCCTTCATTTTCGGACAACTGGAAGTGTAAAAGAGCTGAAGGTGATGCTGACTCAACTAAGCAGCGTTTCTACCATGTTGTTGGTGAGGTGGCCTGTATTCTTGCAGCCCTATCAACTAAACATTGGTCAAATAAATTCTAGACTAGATTACCGCAATTCCTTATTATCAGGCTGCTCTAATAAGTCTCTTAAATCTCTCCAGCTGATTGAGAATGCTGCAGCTCATGTACTAACAAAAACTAAGAAAATAGATCATATTACTCCTGTATTAGCTTCTCTACACTAGCTCCCTATAAAATCTAGAACATAATTTAAAATCATTTTACTTACCTACAAAGCCCTAAAGGGTCAGGCACCATCATATCTTAAGGAGCTTATAGTACAATGTTATCCTACTAGAGAGCTGCGCTCCCTAAATTCAGGGTTACTTGTGGTTCCTAGAGTCTTAAAAAGTAGGATGGGAGAGCATTCAGTTATCAAGCTCCTCTTTTGTTGGACCAGCTTCCCGTTTCAGTCCGGGGGGCAGACACACTCACCACATTTAAGAGTAGGCTTAAGACTTTACTTTTTAACACTTATAGCTAGGGCTGGCTCAGGTTTATAGTCGGGGCTGACTCAGGTTTATAGTCGGGGCTGACTCAGGTTTATAGCTAGGACCCCTGCTATAGGCCACATTACTAACTTTGCTTCTTCACCAGAGTCTCTGTGCTTTCTCACCTCGCAGGTTTCCGTGGATCCTGGTTATACCTGGAACATGGTCTTGTCTCCTGCCGTGGTTCTGGCATATGCATTGAATGTGTTGTAACTCTGTTATGTTGTTCATTCGGTACACATCGGTATCGCAATTCTGTCCCTCCTGATAGAGGGATCCCTCCTCTGTTGCTCTCCCTAAGGTCTCTCCCTGTTAAAGGGTTTTTGGGGAGAGTTTTTCAGATTCCAATGTGAGGGTCCTGAGACAGAGGATGTCGTATGTGTACAGATTGTAAAGCCCTCTGAGGCAAATTTGTGATTTTGGGCTCTACAAAATGAATAAACGGCTCAGACAGCATTATAGCAGATGAGCTGTCTCATGCCTAACATTAACGCTCACTTTCCCACCTGTTTGTTTCCAGTCTTATTACTCTTTAAAGTACCCTCATAGTCTATACAGATTTAGTTTTAGTTCTGTATCTCAAGTGTTTACCTTTACCTGTGCACCTGCACTTTGCTGCTGATCCTTCCAGTATTATCTCACCTGGGCTGATGAGCCTATAGAGCTGTCCAGTTCTGTCTGCATGACTCTCTCTTAGCTCCTAGGTGGTTTGTTGCTTGGCCATGTCTTTTCTTTTAGCATCTTCATACACTATATTCCACTCAGCCTGGCCCTCACACACATCTCTGATGTTATTGATTGTCCCCATCTCATTGATTTGTTTTGTTGAATCAATAGATTGTTTCATTTTTTTGACCTCCAGCTTTTTGTGTGCCAGTTCCTGACAGAGTGGAAGTCTACAGTGTCAAATTCTGCATTAACCCCAGGTGCACAAACTGGAATACTTTGACACCCTCTACCTCATAACTTGGATTAGCACCGACCTGTATGTGGCAGAGGGCAGTGAACCTCGTCTCTCTGGACACGCTGCCGCAGGCGACCAGCAGGGGTCCATGGACTCGCTCCAGGGCCGCCAGGCTGACAGCAGGCAGGCTGGAGCAAAGGCAGAGGAAGAGGCTGAGGGTAGCTGCCATGACAGGGGGGTGGGGGCTGACCAGAGAGGCATCCAGCAGGGACAGGATGTCAAACAGCTCGTTCTCTGACTGTGGACGGTAACGCTGGAGGATCTTCAGCACCTCACACTGACCCCAAACATCCGACTCCTTCAACCTAGGAGGACAGATAAACAGAGAGATGTAGACTAGGAGGGCAGCCGGGTATGCTGCTGAAGTGTCTTTGAGCAAAATGCTGACCACCAGTACCTGCTCACTCTGTCAGTGGGAACATGAGCTAAAACCATAAATACTTAACTGCAAAATTTTTGGGATGGCCGGTGCTCAATGTTGTAAACTTGTGTAAATATGATGAGTGTGAGTGTATCTAATGCCGGATACATCTTATTCCTCTGTTCCATCAAGCAGAACACACTGTAGTTTATTTTGACCCAATCCCACATACACTGTGCTGCGATGGCAATACTCACTAGAGCACCAAGTGTGGAATCATCCACAGCTGAATACAGTCGCCAAACAAATGCACTATTTCCTTCTGTGTCAGGATTTAATAGGTCACATTTGTTAAAAACGATGGTGGCCAGCTGTTTTAAATTACTAAGTGTCTTTGGTCCAAGCAGAAAAATCTCAACTATTTTTTATTATTATTAAACCATTAATTGAAGCCAGGGTTGGTAATCTCTTTGTTTACCTTTACATCCCGCCAGCAGTCAATAAATCAAATGCTCTGACAAAAAAAGAAAAAAAGATTGCCGGACTGTAATATGCCTCCTTACGTGCCTGCCTGCCTGCATAAATAAAGTGACTCTTAAGCAGTGAGGCAGTGGCAGTAGAGATCAGATATCTGTATGGTAAGAAGTTATGCCACCATATTTGTACAGAGCATAACTGTGACATATCTACTCCTCCTCAGATTAGTCTGGCAAATAAAAGATACCAAGCAAAACAAATTAGAAGGTATAAGAAAGGTGCTGAAATTTAGGTGAAGTTTGGTTTTGTGCTAAAATGAAAAAGAACAAAAAAAGGGTTTCAGCTGCCTCCATCAGCCTCGTGAACGTCACCATGCACAGCATTGTTTAAAAACCTCAACGCTGTCCACGCGTTTCACTCATACGTGTACCACATAAAAATACTTCCCTGTTTCAGCCCCTTCAATTAAGTGACATGGTTCTCCTTCATTCTAACCTGTTGAGGAGGTGATGGGTGATAGGCTTATTAATAGCCACTCCTCCCTCCTCCTTCAGGATCTCCTCCAGAGCTCGGAGGCAGTTCACCATCACCACCGGGTCTGGGTCTCTCAGCAGGCCGTACAGCTCGTTCACCACTGCAGCATCTGGAAGAATCGTAGGATGCATATAAAGAGAGCATGAAAAGATATTTATCTTGGTTTTCTAACCCCTGCGTGCACATGCATCTCCCGATGGCGTCTCTAAAAAAATCTTTATGTGCGTGTTGTGTGTTGAGACAATGGGGGAAAAAAAAGAAAGGCAATGGGAATGAAAAATAGAAACAGGACAGCCATCCATCCCCCCTACCTATCTCAGAGTTGGGTTGGAGATTATGTAGTTTGGCCCAGCCGAGAACAGCCACTCGTCGTACACAAGCGGCTCTGTCCCTCAGTCCTGCTGTCAGGGGCTGCTCCACATACTCAACCAGACTGGGTAACCTGGGAAACACGCAGACACACAATCACACAGTCAAAGACCGAATGATTCCAGCAGTCACAGGCCGATGTGACGGCTTGTGCCTCACCTGAGGTTGGTCATGTTCCTCAAGGCCAGACTGCGCACCATGGGGTTTGGGTCCTGACAGTCTTTCCTCAGCGTGTTGATGACCAGCAGAGACAGCTCTGGGTTCAAAGTGGCATAGGAACACAGGAAGACATAGACCAGCTTCTTCTGGACTATGTCCACTGTGGCACAGGCTTTCACCATCTCACTGAACAGGCCTGATACATCCACACCCTGTGACATCGCCCTGGGACAGAGAGAGAGATGGGGGGGGGGGGGGGGGGGGGGGGGGGTCATGTAACCAGACTGCACTGTTAACCCTAAAGGCGGGTTATAATTTGGAAGCCGACATCTCTTTAGATAGTTGAATCTAAAGTACTTTTATATGAAAGAGGAGAGGACTGTCCTTCAGGTATGAAAGGGACACCTGAAATTTAAGCAAGGTAGACAGAGCATTCGGGGAAAGCTGAGGAACATTCTGTTAGGCTACATGTATACACGGTGGTGTGGAGAGCTACAGCAACACACCTTAGTTTAGCATGCTAGTGCGTTAACATTCACTAATGAACACTAAACACAAAGTACAGCAGAGGATGTTGGGAAGGTATTTGGTCGTAAACCAAACTATTGGAGCAATTAAAAATGAATGATGATTGGCTGAGCTGCTCTTCCTCCCAGGGACAGCATCTCCTGTTCATGGCCTCTCCATCACCCTCAAGATCTCTGTTGTGTCACCAACTCTGACTGCAAGGAACCTGGATGTGACCCTGGATGACAAGCTGTCCTTCGCTGCCAACATCTCCACAGCACCCTCCTGCAGAATCATCCTCCACAAGATCAGGAGGACACAATGGTTCCTCAACCAGGAGGCGGTGCAGGTTCTGGTCCAAGCTCTTGTTATTTGGAGCCTAGACTACTGCAACTCCTCCTGGTTGGTGTGTCTGCATGTGCCACCCGACCTCTGCAGTTCATTCCATTTAACGTTTGAAGTAACGCCTTTGGTCATTCAGGACAACAGAGAAATGTGGAAAATTTCTATCCTTAATAATTTGTGGTAACAGGGCTTCATATGTTATACGCAATCAATGAAGGACTCTCTAAACAGAAAGATCTTTCAGATGAAGCCATATTTAGGGACATATGTGGGCGACTGTGGCTAAGTGGATAGCAGGGCCATCTTTCAATCAGAGGGTCGGCGGTTCAATCCCCGGCTCCGGATCTGCTAGTCGCATGTCGATGTGTCCTTGAGCAAGACACTTAACCCCAAAATTGCTCCCGTAGTTGTGCCTACGGTATAGAAATGTGATAGAATCTGAATTGTAAGTCGCTTTGGATAAAAGCGTCTGCTAAATGACTGTAATGTAATGTAACATATCTGCGTTTTACAGTGTATAGTGACATTGGAGCGGAAAACTTTTCCAAGTCTTCATTTCAAAGCGTATCTGCTAACAGACAACACAGATCTGAACAAGAATCCAATAATTTTTCAGCATACCTCGTGATGAGACGATTTAATGTGAACTATGATGTGTTAGTATCAATTTGACTGGGAGTTACTTTCCTGTTAATATGTTCTGAAAAGGTTGAACGTTACAGGACAATGATGCAAGCATGCAAGGACATTCTAAACTGGAATCCATTGAACTTTAGAGCAACACGTCTTTTGTTGATATATGACAATTTTTGAAATGATGACAATGAATCGTAAATGTAGTATTAAGGTAACGTTAGTGAGGCAAGTTATCCTTTCATTTTCTCCACAGCCGCTCATTAGAAGCACGTCCAGTATTTGATGGGGGGGGTGTATCTTACCTGATCACTTTGAGGATGGTGCTCCTGTAGCGCAGCTGGTCGGACTGGACGTTGGGGTTGCACAGAGCTCTCCTCAGCTCCCTCACCGTGTCCTCGCTGCCCAGATAAGGCATGGCGGCCGCACGCACACCGCAGCTCGGACCGTTACATTTACCGTCGCGCCATTCTTCACACGTGCTTCATACTTTTAAAAACGTGACAGGTTAACACTTCAAGTGGAGGGGTTCATTCTTGTCACAGCTCGATGACTCGATTGTTTACACACCGCACACTTCCGCATTTCTTCTTCTACGTTTAGTTTGTTTTTCATAGTATGCTGCTCTCTGCTGGTTGGTATAGGAATTACACTCTACCATTTAACACGGGGTACATCCCAAGTCTCTTAATTGTCATTTCCTCGCTCCTCGATCCTCGCTTGAACCGGAAGTTGTTTCTGCGCCGCCATATTGACGGCCGTCCCAAAGCTCTAATGTAGCTCTGAGGAGCGAGGATCGAGGATGGAGGAGGGACCTCGGAGGAGCCATGAGCGAGGACCCAGGAGAACAGACTTCCAGGAAGTCTTTTAATGGCCGACACGCCCCCTCATTGTTCATCAGTCATGTGATTGGACGCTGCAGCCGATCGGACTGACTGACTTGAGTTTCATACCAGAGTGAAGACGGATCACAGAATAAACTCTAGTTTATATTTGATTAGGTTTCTGATTCACCATCTGGTTTAAATAAATGTTCATTGTAGTCTGAACAACAAAACGACCACAAACAACTTTCTTCATTTGTTAGAAAGATTTGTGTTTTCATGATCTGATGTTTCCCTCAATAACTTTTATTATGAATACAATTAAAGTCAGAGAGAGCTGGAGAGATGAAACACTTTTTACATCATTCCTGAGTGTTTGATGAGTTTTATCATTTAAGAGAAACAATAATCATATTCTGGGTTATTTAATAATGACGCCACAGTCACAATTTCAAAATGTACAGACGCAAATAATTCATATATAAGACGATCGCATTCCGCCAGTAGAAATCGATCCTGAGCTTATAAACAGAACACAGGACACAGTTTGTTAACAGACTACTGAGAGAAACACCTCTACAGTGGTGATTACTGTGTGTCTTTATTAGTTGTTAGTATTATTAGTTACTATTATTAAGTACAGTGATCATGTGAACAGACGCAAACGTATCAAAAGTCTCTCCAGCTGTTAAAGCCGACTGACAGCTGATCCTGCTGTGATCATCAGCCACCGTCATCAGAAACAGACGTCGCTTCACGTGACGCACCTGAGGAAAGGATGTCTCATGTCTCTTAAAACATAATTCCTCGTTCCTCTCTCCTTGCATGGTTTCCTCCATGCATCCCTGGTGGGAGGGACTAAGACGCAAGGAAAGGATGCAAGTGAGGGAAACGGGGATGCAATTAAGAGACTTGGGATGTACCCATAGGCAGTTTCTAAATTTGCCCAATTCATCCTTTGGGATCTGCCGGGTCCATTTCTGGGAGGCGGGACCTTGATGATGATGATGAAGATGATGATTTCTCACAATACAAACTCCATTTTGAATGGAATGTAAGTCTTCCTCTTATCTCTTGTTTTCTTTTTTAAGAAATTAGAGAGTTTTTTCCACTCTCAAGATAGTGCCAGTGTTTACTGTTATTGGATCCTTCGATCCTGCACAAGGTCGATATTTAAATCCCTCACTTACCAGACTCACTCACTTTTATTTCTTTTCTTATTTTGATTTCTGATCCACTACCAGAGTTTCTAGAAGTGATTAAACAGGGATTAAAGGCCATAACACAGTTGGATAAAACACCTTCTCGTGTTCTTCCAAATCTCTTACTGCTGCATGTCCTGTCCAGCCCAAACTTCATTTTTGTGTTTGCTCCCTTTCCCTGCAGGCCTGTAGCACTTTATCATACCGGCCACTTTCACGCCACAATACAACAGAAAATAACTGTTTATGCCACAGACCTGTGGAAACGAAAAATTGACACTTAAGCTGTTGGGAGACGTGAGGACATTTGGAAAGATGTTATAGATCCCTTACAATTATATTTTCCAGCAGGGGCTCTGCAGTGATGGAAGACAAGAAATATATTTTAATATGTAAATTTAAGTATTTCAATTTTGTTTGACTTACTGCAGTCTTTTCCTAGTTTCACAGGGACACCTACTGATGAGGCAGCGCATAGCATCAGCACAGTGTCAACATCTATATTGACTAGCAGCATGTTAGTATTAAAACATGAGATCAGTTTGCAAACTATGATTCAATTTTATAGATTAAACTGCCTACCAGCAGGGTTGAATAAAGTACTTGTTCTTCATTAACCGACCACGGGGCCCAAACCACCTGACTCAGTGTACCTGGGGCTTTTGGGCCCCTGGAGGTCTGGGGCCCCGAGGTATATGGGCCCTTTTTCTTGTTGGTAATCAAGCCTTGCCCAACACTATGTAAAGTAGTGAAAATGATCCCAACCACAACGACCTACAATATTTAAAGGTGTCTTTATTGTGTGCATATCTATGCATCACCAGTGATAATCCTTTTGATACTTTGAGTACATTTTGCTGTACTTTTAGTAAGATTTGCTTGAAGTTGACTTTTAATTGAATATTTGCCTTGTTGTATCACTGCATGCTTTTACTTGGGTCAGAGTATTTCTGCTGGGGCCCAGGTTTATTAAAGTTATCTGGAGGCTTCAGCCTTTTCAGTTCTGGTTGATCTTAAAGGAGTCCAGTGATTCACACATTTCAATGTATTCAGAGATGGTGATATACAGCTCATCTCCAGGGTTCTCAATATGCTGACGGCAGGATGACTGCTGCTAACAATGATGGGGTGCAGTGTTAACTGAACTGATAAGATTTTCATTTTCAAACATTTGTAAATTCAGCTGTTTCTTCCCTGCAGGAAGATAGAACTTTTTTTACTTTCCATGGAAAACACAGGGGGACAAATGTAATCAATAAGATCACTGATCGCACCATTCAACTAAGGTGTTCCCGCTCCCTCACCGGCAGGTCTTATGAGAAGCATCGATGCTGTACGTCACACGGGTGCTCCTCCTGCTGTGAGACAGTTTTGCCTGGGTGACGATGGAAGTGGTCAATGTATTTTTTGATAAAACTCTTTAGCCAGGCCCAAACATAAACTTTACATTTGTCCATACTTTACTCACATAACATCCAACCAGTATTTCAGTGTGAGTTGATGACATTTTTTTTTATTGATTGTGAAAAACAGGAAATCTACTAACACAGACAGCTTTAGACCTCCAGCAGCCTGAGTCCCACCCCAATCCAAAGGCAAACATCCACTCCACCTGCCCCGTTGGCTAGGGTTTAAAGGCAGAGCTTCATAAAAAGGACGGGTGAGACTTGGTGCTGGACAGCCAATCAGCTGACACAGACAGGCATTCTGAACATCACCCAGCTGGTTCAAAGGAAGCTGCTCAAGCCTTCCTCTGAGCCATGTGGGCAGAGCCAGGTGCCAGGACCAATAAGCCATTTATTTTCCACATGATACATTCACCAACATGAATGAACATTAACATCATCCACTTCAAAAAAATAAAAGAAGAAACGCCTCTGTTCCACTTCTCCACAGCAAAGCACCCCAGCCAAATGATAAAATGCTCAAACATACACACATTTACACGCAATTTTCATTCTTGACTGGCAAGAACAATTTGGAATGTTTACTCTTTAGAATTGGAAGTCATTTAAGATGAGTTACATAATGTAGTTGTCTATATGGATTATGGAAGGGGAAGAAGGAAAAGCAGGTCTAATAAATGCCGATCTAAATAAAACGGGTGGGGAAGCCCAGCACACTACCCTCAATTTACATTTGATTCCAAAATGGGGAGAGGTAGGCCCAGCTCTTTCCTAAGATGGATAAATAATAGTGTATGCTGTCCATTCCCTCTGCCGCTGGAAAAGATGACAGTGATTTTGGTCTGTGCTTTCAGCATTTTGACGGGATGAGAATGACGGCGGCAACACACACACACACACACACACACACACACACACACACACACACACACA